AATGTGGATGGGGTGGGTGGGTGGGTGGGTAATTAAGTTTTAATTTTCACTAAATCTTTGAAATCCTACGTACTTTATTTTATATATCTAAAAACGCCATTCTGAAAAGGTATCAGTAGGCTTCCCAGGCTACCAAGGAGACCACGTATGCAATGGAATAAGCATTTAGGTAGCATCTATACCATGCCAGAGACTGGGCTAAGCACTTTGCAAACGTTATCTCACAACAATCTTCACAACAACACCGACCCCAGGCCCTACTTAGCCACCTAGCTGCCTCATGATTCCCCCCAAAATTGAAAAATCCCCCATCTAGTCTAAACTCCAGGCCTGGAGTCAGACTCATCTTCTTGAGCTCAAATCTAGCCTGACTTACTAGCTGTGTGACCTGGGGAAGTCACTTCACCCTGCTTGCCTCAGTTTCCTCATCTGTAAAATGAACTGAAGAAGGAAATGGCAAGCCACGCCAGTATCCTTGCCAAGGAAATGCCCAAAAGGGTCATGACGAGTCGGACATGACTGAAAACAACTGAACAACCACAAGGTCTTACACACTCCCTTTTCAGAGATGAGCAAACTTAGATCCAGAGAGAGCCAGTCATTTATTTATTAATTGATTGATTGTCCAAGGTCACATAGGTAGGAAGTGACAGAGGCAAAAGTTGAGTCAGAGCCAATAAATCAATCAACAAGCATTTAAATAGTACCTGTAGTGAGTCAGGTATGGTGGGAGGTGCTCCATCTATGAAATGAAAAGTCCCTGCCCTCAAAGAGCTTATAGTCAATCAAAGGAGATAATGTTTTTAATGTCCTATGTCATTATCTCTTCAGTATGTCTTTATTATATAAGTATATCAAATATTTGTGCATAGAAAATACGTAAAATAAATACAAAGAGCTGGAGGAGAGGGAATTAACAGCTGTTTGATCTGATCACCATCATCACTGTTAAACTCCAATTTGTGACCTCATCGACAGGACCACATTTCTATAGTACTTTAAGCTTTGCAAGGCACTTTCCTATTATTATTGCTGTTGCTGTCGCTGTTGTTACCACTGCTATGGGAGAGGAGGCAGTCCTACAAACAGGGTGTCCAGTCAGTCAAGCTTCTGTACAAGACCAACCAGTGCCCCTCAAAAAAAAAATTTTAAAACCTGCTTTTCAAATTCAACCCTCAACTTTCCAAAATCTGTCTCTAGTTTCAAACTCAAATAACCGCCCAGCATGGCGGTCTTTGTTTTGTTCTCTCCTCTTCAACTCCTCCCTGTGATTGCATAACAAAAGTGTCTAAATTCACACCATCTGGCCGATAAAGACACTGGCCCCACTGGCCGGCTGGCCCATCTGATTAGGCTCCTGTCTAGCCTGAGCCTTGTGGCGAAAAGTCACAGCTGTGGGGCTTTGGAGACCTCAATACAACTCTGTTATTAGCCAGCTGTAGGCCTCGAGACTACTTCTGTTCAAATTATAATATCTTTTAACCCTCTGAGCATTGAGGGCGCAGGGGCGACTGGCAGCAACAGAACAGAGGAGAGTTCTCCTGGCTAATAATTGGCAAAATGAGGAAGAGTTGGGGGGGGCAGTTGAGAAGAGTGGGGGTAAAGTGATTCCTGGGGAAATTATTTTTTCAAACTTTACTGCTCTCTCTCTTAAAGACCAATACATACATACATACACACATACATACATACATACATGTATACATACACACACACACATATACACACATACACATGCCCTCTTTTCCACTGGAGATTAGTCAGAATCCAGTCACCAAAAAATGTGGGGAGATCGGGGAGTGTATCCAGTTATGTCAAGGACTCAATGCAAATGGAACTAATTATGCTTTCTAACTACTAGGGAGCTGGGCCTTTGAATCTTCCCTTCTATGCTGTAGAGACTGAGGTATCTGTATTGCAAAAGCTGGAGACAGGGAGAACTTTCATCCCCCCTGGAGTCAAATTGCTCTAATAGGAAGAGGGGCTAAGAAAGAGACCTGCTTGGGATACAGCATAATAACAGTAGAATGAGTTACATTTCTAACACTTTTAGTGGCACAAAAAGCTTTCCCACATGGAGGCATTTGATTCTTCACCACAATCCTATGACCTAGGGGAATGTTAGCCTTATTTCATAGATGTATTTACTTTCCTTTATTTAGCCTTTTACATATTATATACCTGTCCACCCAACCACCCCTACCCCCACTAGAATGTAAGCTGCTTGACCGAAAAAAACTGTTCTAGAACTTAAAAAAAAAAAAGCATTTCATATCCCTAGTTCCTAGCATTGTTTTTTCACTGTTTTTTGAGGGGGGAAGGAGGGGGTTCTGCAGGTGAGTGGAAAGGTGCCAGACTACTAATTTTTTCGTGAGGGGGGCAGGGATCCCCAGCAGGAAAGCTCCCTCCAGGATGCTGATCGGGACCCTAACACAGTCTTCCAGAGCTGCCTGAGAATACTGAGAGAGTAAGGGACTTTAGCAGCGTCACACAGCTAGTGTGCTCATGACACTGGATTGGAACCCAGGGCTAAATGCTACTACATCCCCTCAGCCTAGCACATAGGAAGTAGTTGATAAATTCTAGTTCGGAGATTTGAGGGCACTTGATCAAAGTTACAGACAGCTAATAATAGGTGTGAGAACTGAGACAGGAAGGAACCCAAGTCCACTGAAGGGGAGAGAGAGAGAGAGAGAGAGAGAGAGAGAGAGAGAGAGAGAGAGAGAGAGAGAGAGAGAGAGAGAGAGAGAGAGAGAGATCTGCTTTACCCACAGCAAAGGGGGAGGGGGGGGGAACAATAGCCGAGCTCCTCCACTGTTCTCAAAACTGCCGAGAAGTTCCAGCGCATTAAATTTTTATATTCTGTTGCTAATGCAGACTAAACTAGAGGCTTTTAAAAATTGATGCCTGCCGCCTCTTATTTAAACAGCATAAAATAAGGAGGCTTGGATTGGGCTTTAAAAAAAAATACAAATACCACTGTCAGGCGGGCCTTGCAGCTGGGTGGGGTGGGTCTGGCTCATTTAAATTGCTAGGTGTAATTCGCCAGACAATGGGCAATTCCTTCTCTGGGAGGGTGTCTCCAAACAAAGACGTTTTAGGAGCGGCGGGACGGGAGGGAGTAAAGGGAGCCCAACCCTTGTCCTTTGATTAGCCACCCCGAGCCCCTGTACTCTGTCTCTTTAATCTAGGTGTCACACAGAAAGTACATCTCGGGATTATATTTTCTTCCTGGGTTAATCACTTCGGCAGAAGCCGGGCCGGCGGCAGCGGCAGGCTGTGGGGGCTCAGAGAAATGAACGCCCTGGAAGGGAGGTGGGGGCCGGCTTGGCTGTCTCCAGCTGGCAGCCAGCCCCAGGGCCGCACGGGAAAGGACCTGCCTCCGGTCCTCCGCGGAGGCCCGGTGGCTAAACTGCACTTTAGATTGGGCGAGTTTGTTTTGATAATATTTGGGCAGACCCGAAAAGCAAACACGACTGATTGTTATGGTTTCTCTCGGACCACGCTGGGGAAAGGGGTAGGGGCAGCCAGAGCTGCCTGCAAAGCAGCCAGAAATTAATCTAGGGATCTTTCCTTAAAGAGGAAGAAAAAAAAATCCTCAAGATTCGGGGGTGGGCGTGAGATAAGGCGGGAAGAGAGGTTGGCGTCTTTCTCCCAAGCTGGAGGAGGGAAATGATGCTTTCTCTTCAAGCGGGTGGAGTCATTAGAAACCAAAGAGACAAGTAACCGGGAAGAGATGTCTAAGACAGAATGCCTAGTCTGACCCCACCCCACCCCCCACCTCCGCAAAAAAAAAAAAAATCTCTTCAATATACTTTTTTTCTTCATTGTGAGACTTCTAAACCCGCCTTCCAGCCAAGGAAATAACTAACTGTCCCCCTTCTTGAACCCCCTAAAAATACTGGAAACGAGGAGATTTGATCCCATTAAACTGTTAAAGCGAAGGGGAGCCGGAGGTAGAGAAGAATAGCCCGCAATCTAGACAAGTGTTTTAGTCAGAAGCCAATGGTTAGTTTTCCCCGGCTGCAAATAAAGATTTCCCTAATCCTCCTTACCCCAGTAGAACCCAGGCCCGCAAGACCTTTCACTAGAAAAGGAACTGATCTGGGCTCGCTGGGCTGTAGGTCGGTAGCGCTGGCCAGGCGCAGGAGGACCTAGGCAATTTCCCTTCGAGGTGCAATCAAAGTTGATACATTATCGCGCGCGGAAATGAACTTAGAAACATACGGATGCCTCCCCCAAAGCCTGTTTTATCTGCCTGAGCTAAGTACACTTCACATGCAATCTGTCCCAACCCAAGGCGAGAGTTGACAGTAAGTGCAGAGATGGATTAAGAAGATCCCAGTCCATTTCACTGAGGCTAGACCCAGTCAGTACTCGACAAGTGTTAGAAGCCGGTAAACCCACGCTCATCCGCGCGGTGGCCTCCGCAGCAAGGGAGAAAACAGGCCAGCAGTCCTCATGCTTGTCGGGGATGCTACGGTTAGGGTGTCTCCTGTCCCTATCCTGGAAGACTTTCTAAAACTGCTCACCCCATCCAGTCTTTTTCCCCCTTGCCTGCGCGCCAATGTTTTCTCGTCTAGACCATGGAAACTGTCTAGCCCCACTCCGCCCGGTCCAGGTCATGTATTTGGGGAATTGGTTGTTTCTCCTTCGCTTTCCAAGATTCCCGGTGAGTCCTAGGAAATTTGTGGAGAAGGGTACTTTGTCTACTCTGGGAAAAAGGATACTCCCTCCGGAAAGGCGGCAGGAGTAAAGCCTGCTCACCGTCTCTTTGCCCCTTCCAGACCTCTGAACATCTGCCCTAGAAATGCACTCGTGGGGATGGGAAGGGAGAGGTAAGAGCCAGAGATAGAAGGGTCTCTTTGTCTCTGATCTTTCGGTCAGTTTGTCTTTCGCGCTCTTGGGCGCGAGGTGAGAGAAGGGTTTCCAAGTGTCTCCCTGTCTCTCCCTCTCTCCAGAAAGAATCATTCAGCCACCTCCTAGCAACTTCAGCTTACCTGCACATGACTTCGTGTGTGAGTAGAACTCGGCACATCTCTGGGTTCTTGTTCTGTCCCTCATAAGCTATGGGCTGCCAGGACAAGAGAATGGAGGAAGAGAAGAGGAAAGACGATTTAAAAAACAAACACAAAATAAATCTCTCAGAAATGGACAACTCAGTTGTTAGGAAAACTTGGCGGGAGAAGGTTAAAAAAAAAACCAGCCACCATTCTGCCAAATATTAATATATCGGGGGGGGGGGTTGCTGAATCCCCTTCCCCCAAATTGTTTCAAATATGTCCTTCCCTTTGAGATTGTCATCCTGGGCTAGTTGGTTAATTAGAAAGTGGGGTCCTCCCTACCCTCTTCTCTCTCTCCCTGGTACCTCTCAGACAAGAAACCCAAGACTTAGACTTTGCCGCTACTGAGTTTGGAGGAAGCCTAGAGGGCCAATGAGACTGGAAACGACAAGCGGCGGGAGGAAAATGACGGAAAGCCTCAGCAGTGAGAAGATAAAGAATGGGTGTAAGGGAGAGAAGGCAATGAAGGGAGAGAAAAAGAGGCCCGAAGCCGACCGGCTCAGCTCACCTGCTTCGTGACGGAGTCGATGAGCCGGACAAAGAGGTCTTGCTCGGTCCTGACCCCTAGGAAGGTGAGTACAGAAGGCAGAGAAGTCACTCACTGGGCCCCGCCACCGGAGAGAGCGAACTTCTCCCAGGCACCCCGACTCAGTGAAGAGATAACCCTCCACCTCTTCCAACAAAATAAATAGATAAGAGCTTTGATCTTGCACTTCAGAAAAAGAGGGTGTGAGGAACTCTGGTGGGTGGAGAACTAAAAGTTACTAACCTGTCCGCTCCCTCCCCCACACACACACACAAAAAGAGCGTGGTGCAGCCTCAGTTTTCTGCTTTTTCTCCTCGCGGCTGGACGCAGACCAACGCTGCGCACCTCTGAGAGCACAGGCTGGACTCCGTTTCCCCACTACATCAGCCTCCCTCCACAGCTTCCTCCCCAGGCTGCTCAGCTTCTGATGCCTCCTTAGTTCCGGCACTGGAAGTGGCCCGAGAGCACTTCCCCATCAGGACAGAGCTGCGAGTTCAAATCCCTTTCGTTTGAAAACCGCAATGTCCCCTCCCCTCTCCCCCATTTATCCCTTCCCTTTTCCGCACTGGAGAGGGCCTCACCGTTGCTATAGAGGAGCTGCAACTTGTAGTGGGTGCCATTATTGGTCTTCTCATTGCCTTGTTCCTAGAAAGAGAGGGGATTTAAAACCCAAAAATTGTCTTGCTGTCTGCGTGTACTTCCCCGTGTCCCACCATCCACAGGCGAGCTCGAACATTAACCTGCCTCGATCCCAGGATGTCAGAAAAGTTCCAAGCAGTTCTGCCGTGCGGACCCACCGTCGCCGCCCTTGCCGCCCGGCCCTCCCAAATTCATACATGTCCTCCGTTTGTGGAGCCTCCAAAGACAGGAGCGTTTGGAGACACAGCATCCTTCTCCAGAAACATACTTTGCTCTTTTTACTAAAAATATATGAGTATGCGTGCATGTGTACTTGTGACAGCCTCTGCCGTGTCTTCCGCCCAAGGTGAGGGACGTTAAAAAAGTAAGGCCCGGGAGGAATGGATCTCAAGAAAAAGACTGCGCTTTGGTCTGCCGTGGTCCCTCCAAGCCCCTTTGCTTGCACTCTTTCCCTCCCCTGGGCTCAAGCAAACCGAGTCCAAAGCGTCTACACCTGCTTCGAATTCCACGCCTGAGCCCAAGGGATGTGCTGAGCTATTTCTCACCCTATCCCCCAAATGCCCTAGGAAAGGTCAGAACCCCAGCAGAGACTGGGCTCCACGGATAAACGGGCGATTTCCTTTCCTTGCTCTGGACTCCCTGCAGAATTCTCTGTGAGCAAGGTGACCGACTACTTGGGCAGGGGCCCACTCAAAAAAAAAAAAGTGCAGCGTGGGGAGGGAAAATTCTTTTTCTTCTTCTATCTTTCTTTCTTTCTTTCTTTCTTTCTTTCTTTCTTTCTTTCTTTCTTTCTTTCTTTCTTTCTTTCTTTCTTTCTTTCTTTTTTTAAAAACCGGCCTTTATTTCTGGAAATTGCTTGAAAATGCAATTGACCGGAGCAGCTAATTAGGGGGAGTCAGGAAAGGTCCTTGATGAGGCCGAGGGTCAGCTCCACAACTGAGGGGTACATGTTCGGGGGCTAAAGCAGGAGAGGAAAGGGAAGGGAGGAGGCGACAGGACCGGGGGAAATAAGGGGTTCTTTCCTGGGTCCTGGACGCGGTTCCCCCATTTATCATACCGGGTGAGCCTAGCTGTCCAGGGCGGCGCAGTGGCAGATGGAAGGACTCTCTGCTACTTTGCAGAAGGGAGTTATTAAGTGCCGTGAATGCAAGTGGGGGGGGGAGAATCTCCGCTGGTGATGGACGGAAAAAAATTTGACCCAGCCCCCCCACACCCCCCATCTTACTTTGTCGTTCTCCACGAAGTCCACGAAGGCGGTCCTTTCGATCTCCACCGGCTGACCCTGCCGATCATAGAGGGCCAAGACGAAGTGGAAGAAATTGGATTTTCGCAAGTTGGAAGGAGGCTGTTTCTCAAAATGAGCCCGGGACAGGGCTACCCCGCTGAGGAAGAACAGAAGGGGGGGTGGGGAAAATGAGGGCCCCAGAAACGCTGCTGTTACACTTTAATCAAATACTTCTCTTCTGAGAAACCGAGGACACAGCCCTGCCTTCTGCAGAAGCCAGTTCCCTAAAGTCTCTCGAAGGCGCTGACGAGCCCCCACCCCATCCCCATTAAAAACTCGACCTTCTATAATAAAGCTCCGCACCTTGGTTATCTAAACTTAAAAGTTGGAACCTGACCGGCATTTTGCAGGAGGGGTTGCCCCAGGGTTCAATGGAAGGTACAAAAAGACTCCCAGTTTCACTGGAGAGCACCAAGTTCAACAGTCACTTAGATGAGGTCCGGGCCTGAGCCCCTTGGTGTTAGTTTTTGAACCGAACCAAATAGGCTGTAGATGTCCCTACCACGGCGCCTGGATCCCTGCTGCAAAGGACAATCCTTCCTGCCTGGTCTCTCTCTGCCCTTGCGGTCCGAGAGCACAGGACCCTGGCAAAGACCCCCCCCTTCTGTTTGCTTGCTTTTCTAAGCATCCCCCCATTTCCCGCCTTTCTCCGAGCCCCAATACCTGGGTTGGGTGGCCTGGGAAGGAGCAGAGAAAGGGATTGGTTCTGGGTGGGGTTAATAACCCTAATTATTAATATATTGTTGTTAGAAGCAACTTGTTTGCATATGAAGAGCCATCTCGTCATCCTAGTTTGGGGTTGAATTTTTCCCCCTCTTTCTCCTTTCTAGAGCTAGGAACCTTCTGTTTGCGTCTAACTAGCTCACTCCCCCCCCCCCGCCTTCCGGGGAAGTTTCCTAAACTGGAGAAAGAACCAAAACTGACTCCTGAAATAGCAGCCCTGGGAATAGACAGAGTCCAAGAACCAAGCTGGGACGGCCAAAAACGAGGTACCAGGTCCTATTTTCCCTAGGCCCAGCTAAAGGCCTCTTACCCACCCCCGGGCTTTTCTTCTCCAGGAAAGTCAGACTCATCTGGGGCCCTTATTTCGTCTAACTCTCCTTCAGTCCTGGAGTCCTTCTGCCCCAGGTGGAGCCCCGGGGAGGGAGAAGGGGGTGAGTGACTTTGAGGGAACAACCCCAGGGGTAGCAGGGCTGGAGAAGCCAAAGTTTTATTAAAAGATGAAAAGCTCTCCAGTGAGGACGAATATCTTCCCACCATCGCTGCCACCACTCCCTCCCCCGCCCCAACCCCGGGCAAGGAGACAGACTGATACTTGGGCATTTTCCCCCAAGGGAAAAAAATGAGGCCAAGGGGGGGGAGGATGGACGGACTGACGGACGGGCGCACGGATAGACGGATGGATGGATGGATGGATGGATGGATGGATGGATGGATGGATGGATGAGCTTGCACGCCTGTTCTTGCTGCCTGTGTGTACACAGTCAGGCCCCCAACAGCCCTGAGAAGTCGCCTGTTCAGCTTTCCCGAAGGCGGGGTTCAGTTCTAGTTTGGGAGACCCCAGGCCTCCCAGGCCTTGGGGGTTCGCTTAAACTGTGAAGCAGCGCTGGGCAAGGGTCCCCAAGAGCGCTCAGTACCTCACTGCCGAGACTGCAAGGCGCTTTCACTCTTAAGAAAACAGGTCAGGAGGGGCAGAGGTTGGAGAGAGAGAGACTCAGTTTCTCTACGATATCACTGTAGGAAAACTGGGATCCTCATTTTCTGCGGAGCGCCTATGAGCAATCCCGGCGGTATCTTCTCCGTGAAGTTTCATCTGCCCCCGCCCCAATTCTGGGGGGCCTATAGTTTCCTACGACAGGAATGAGCTTGGAGAGCTGTTTAGCTTGAGGGGGTGAAGAAGAGGGAGTTGTCCCCAAACCTCCCAGGAAAAGATGTAAGCGTCTCTTCCATCGAGCTGAGAAAAGCTGTTTCAGCTGGGCTGCTCCCCAGGCGGGCTGCGAAGAGAATCGTGCTGGCCTCCGAGACTCAGCTGGCTGGCCCTGAGAAATCACGTTGATTGGCCTGGGCCTCAGCTGACCTCCTATCTGGATCAGATCAGGAATTCGGTTAAGCAAGAGTGAGACTGGACTCCAGGCCCAGGGAGCAGGTTCGATCCAGCCGGGCACAGCGACCGTTCGGGCAGTTTCTCTAGGAAGAAAGGGGTTTGGATGTGGGCTATGAAAAGGGGAAGGGGGAAGCTTCGTCTTAGGTGGATTGCGCTGGACCTAGGGAAGCAGCGTCTTGGACCTCTGGAGCAGCGGTTGAAGGTGAGGAAGGGCAAGCAGCAACCCTCCCCCCCCCGCAAAAAAGGAGGGGAGAGCTAACAAGAAACCACCGCGAGTTCAAGGCAAAAGAAATCCAACAGGCGGCCTACGTTTTAAAAGGGCATTTAAGGGGACTGGGGACCCGAATATGGCATTTTCTGTCGCCTCAATGACAACTCCAGGGACCTCTGAAAACAAGAGGAAGAGAAGTTTGTAGATCTCGTTCACGAAGCAAACTGACTTTGGGTGTTAAGGCTTCTCTCTGTTCTCCTTTCCTCTGTTCTGTTCTTCCTTCTTTTCTTTCTCCTCTACTTTCTTCCTTCAAGTCCTTTTTTTCCTCCTTTATTGTTCTTCCTTCTCTATTTTCTTTGTGCCTTTTTCTCTTTTTTCTTTCACCTTTTTCTTTTCCTCCATTCTTTTCCTTCTTTCCTCTTCTTTTTTCTGACTTTCCATTCTTTTTTTCCAACTTTTCCTTCTGCCTAGTTCTCTCTTCCTTCATTTTCCCCTTGTTCTTCTCTTCTGTCCCTGCATTTTCCTCTTCTTTTTCCCTTTCTTTCTTCCTTTCCTTTTCTTGGGTCTTTATTTTCCTTCCTTCCCTTCCCTTCCCTTTCTTCCTTCCCCCTCCTTTCCTTCTCTTCCCTTCCCTTTCTTTCTTTCCTTTCCCTTTCCTTCTCTTTCCTTCCCGTGATTTTCCAGACTCCTGCGGCTCGGCTCCCCGCAGTTTCTCGGGGCTGACTCGCTGGCTCTCTCCCTGAGCGGAGCCGCCTCTCCCAGCTGGACATTCCGCCGCCAGCCCTGCAGCCAGGCTGGGCTGGGGGATGGGGGCGATCGGCCCAAATGCCGGGGGGGGGGCGCACTCCCGAGTTTAGGGCTAAACCTCTCCTTTCTTGTCCTCTCAGGTGGTGGCGCCGGGTGACAGCTGCTCGCTAACTGGGGTCTCCCTCGCTGCCTCCGCCTCGGGCACATCCTCGGGCTCAGGGAACAGTGACAGCTGAGCTCGCGAGCCTCGGGGACTCGGACCTCGAGACGGGGGTTCTGGAGGCGCTGGTCTGGGAGAGCCGGGTTGGGCTTTGAAACACGGATGAGCTTCTTGTTTAGGAGTTCGTGAGGAGGGGCAGCGAGGATGACAAAATTACCGTGGCAACTCGGAGCCTCGGTTCCCTTATTTTCAAATGACAGAGAGCCCTTTGACAGAGAGAAAGTAGGAATGGAGAGGTCTCTAGATAAAGCTACAGCGTTCAGAGAAGAAGGTGACAGATGGGGAGAGCAGAAACATGAGGGCGGAGAGAGATGAGAGGGATAGAGAGATGAGAGAAAATGAGAATGACAGAGAATAGAGACGGAGACTGAGAGAAGGAAAACAAGAGGGAAAGAGGAGAGAAGAAAAGAAGAAAAAAGAGCGAAGAGATGAGAAAGTGAATGATAAAAGAAGGAAAAGACAGATGAGAGAGAATAGGTGAAAATGTGAAAGAAGCGAGAAGAAAAGAGGGAAGAAGAGGAAGAGAAGGAAATGGGGGGGCGAAAGAATGGGTATTAATTTTTTTACCTTTGTGCCGCAACGTTTGCATCCACCACTCCGACGTTTCGAACCCAGGACCGGACCGAATCCATCTCCGAGCCTAGGGCTTTCTCTTTCAGAGCTGGTCCTCTTCCTAACGTATCTTGAATTCCAAACATTTAAAAAGTCTGATCCAGTAGAACAGATGACTCTAAAAAGAATTTTTTTCTTGTTTCTGTGTGTGTTTTTTTAAAGGACAATATCCACCAAGCCCCAAGTAGTCACGAGATTCACACAGCCAAGTGTTCGTTCCCCCCCCCACAAAAAACAGAAGTCTTCGAAAGAGACGAAGAGCCAAAGTTTGTCTGTCCGTCTACGTCTCTCTGGAGAAGCTCGGGGTTCTGCTTGCAGCCGCTGCTCGGCGATGTAGGCCTCCGTCAAAGTTTGGCTTGCTTTGCCCTCCCCTCCCCTCCCTCGGTAAGTTCTCTCCTGCCGCCGGCGTTCACCTCCGCTTGCCTATAACATCCTTCTCGCCGCAGCCCGGCCTGCATCCAGAGAGCGTTCGCTGGCCAGGAGCATCACCTGTTTTCTGGGAGAAGCAGGAGGAGATGGACTGCTGCCTAATCTCGCCCCCTTCCTCCCTCCCAGCCCCCCTCCCCTTTCCTCCCCACCACTCCAACTCCGAGCCCAAAAAAAATAAAAGGTGGGGTGGGTGGGGGAGAAAATCCCAGGATGAATTGTCAGAGCCAAGGGAAGAAATGGATCTAGTGAGAAGCTGGCTGCTCTGAGAGAGGGGGAGCCGGGAGACAGCGGCTCCGAGGCCCCATGAATGGGTTACTGCAAGCAGAAGGACACACCAAGGAGGCGGAGCCGCCTTCCCGATAAGGAGCGCTCATTTGCATAAGCGCGCCGGATTGGAGGGAGGCGGGCAAGCTAGAGGCGCCCTCCAGCCACTGCCCAGCTCCCGGCTCCACGTCGAGTCCCGGAGGTGAGAGCGGGCGGAGAGCAGCCCTGGGCGCGCGGCAGCCTAGCCCAGCCTAGCTGGGTCCGCCCGCCCGCCTGCATCTACCTACCTCTCCTTCTCCGCGCTACACAGGGCTAAAGGAGAAGTTTTCCCTTCAACAAGCCGCGCTTGGCAGTCTCGGGAGCACGTGAGCCGAGCGTTCCGCTGCGTGCCCAGGGTATCTACTGCCTGTTCGGTACGCGCGTATGTCGCGCAGCTCAGTCTTATGATACAGACACACGCTGGAGGCATACTCAAACACTGCCTATGTATGTGTGAATGCATACATATTTGTAAAGAAAGTGAGAGTGTGGGCCCACACGCTCTGGGATGTGTGTGTAAACTTTCCCGGCAGTAGCACTGATCGCTAACAGCGTTCCCGCCGGCTCCTCGAGAGATGCTGGGACTAGAGGATTTTGTCAAGGAGAGTTTTGGTGGGTGGTTTGGAAGTTGTTTTGAAAATATTTACGGTTGGGGGCGGTGGCGGAAGGAATGGAAGAAATGAAAGAAGGAGAGAAAGCCCGAGCGCTTAGAAGGGAGAGAGAGACAAGGAAAGATTCATAGAGACACAGTCAAGTGGTGTTTGTTAAAAGTCTTCTATGTGCCAAGTACCGTGGGGTACAAAGGCAAAAGCCAGACTCTACTCTGAAGGAGCTCCCAGTCTAATACGGAAGACAACAGACACCCATGGAGCTGACATAGAAAGACTGACTCAGAAACAGCGACATAAAAGAGACAGTGTGATAGGAGGGACGAGAGTTATAAAAGAGGAGAAAGAAGAAAGAGTGGAAAGGAGAGGAAGGGAGAGGGGGAGAAAAGAGAAAAGCTGAGAGACACGGGAAAGGAAAAAGGAGAGATGAAAGGAAGAGAAAAAGTAAAACAGATTAAGATAGAAGCGTGTAGGAGAAAAGAGAAGAGAAAGAGAAAGAAAAGGAAGGAGGAAAGAAGGTAAGATAGAGAAGAAAAGAAAGCGAGAGGAGAGGAAACTTAGTTTAAATGTTGTCTTCTTAGATGTAAGTAGAGAAAGTGAAAAAACCCAGAAGTTCGTCGGAAAATCCGAGGAAAAGCTTAGAGTACTGGGGCATGCAGTTGCGTTAGCCAGGGTAAGAGACAAGTGACTGTGGCGTGCTATGTGCGAGGGAGACCCGAGCATCTTCGACACATGCCCAGAACCACACAATTGACAAACGAATTTACTATAGCCTATGGAAGAGAGGGCAGTTGAGGGCCAAGTGGGAAGAAGAGTGGGGAGGGGGGAGGCTCAGGACACATAGTTCTCGGGGAGGAAGAGAAGACGACCGGCCACTCGGCCCACATTCTGCGCCGACTCCCCCCGAGGGAAAGGGCTGGTTAGAAGCAAAGCTGGAGCGCAGCCGGGCGGTCACTAGCTGAAACCCCAGCCGCTAGCGCGGACCGGAGGGCGGCTTCCTAGGTGCCCATTAAAAACCACACCGGCTGGGTGTTATTTTCCTTCCCTCTCTTTTTGTATTCTGATCTGGGGATGAATCTGCTTGCTGCTGCTGCTGCTGCTGCTGCTGCTGCTGCTGCTGCTGCTGCTGCTGCTGCTGCTGAAATCTCTAACACCAACGAGAAAACAGATTTGAAGACAATGAATGCAAATCTGGACTCCGGGGCCATCTGCCATAGGAGACAATCAGCTGGTTCGCAGTTAAAGCGACAGCGTCTACATTTCCGAGCCTCATTAAGGGGGAGAACCTTGCCTAAAGCCTAAAAGCTTTCCTAAAGCAGGGACCCTGTTAAAAATCGAAGAAGGGGCAAGGGGAGATACAGAAACAACAGAGACAGAGAAACAGAAGCAGAGAGATCAGGAAAGAGGAAGAGAAAAAAAGAGAAGAGAGAAACAAAAGAAAGAGAAGAGAGGAAAAAATAGGAAAAGAGAGGAGAGGAGAGGAACGGGAGAAAGAGACGAGAGAGAGGAGAGATAGAGAGACCTACAGAGACAGACAGACAGACAGACTCAAATACGAGAATGAATGAATCAACTTAGAACGTCGAGGATCCACCAGTCACAGCTGAACATTAGCCAGCGCACTTTGGGTTATTCCCCGCTAGAGGACAGACACATGGTTTCTAAAGGTCATTTGAACAGGCAGAAGTGAACCTGACCTCAGTTTCAGAAAATGCTCTTCTCTCTCTTTAGAAAGGTGCTAAGTCGTTTTTACTTAATTGAAATTCGATCCAGTCATGGGCAAGGGATCTGGTGCATTTAAAAGGGATTATTTGAGAGAAAGAGTTATCATCTCCCCTTGGCTTTTCGATCTACATTCGGGGGTAGCTGTCAATTTTCTGAAGACTATCCAGCGCAGGACAGTGGTGGTGGAGGTAGTTTCGTTTGATAAAGTAAGAGGGGGCCACTGATGGGGCCTGGGTAGTCACTGTCATCTCTAGGTAACGTCTGGGAGCAGAAGTGTGGAAGGGAAGGGGAAACTAGAACAATGTTACAGATGGTAACAATGTTGCAGATTGTAACAATATTACCAAGAATAACACTATCGGTGGTTACAACAATGTTGCAGTATTTGGAGAGAGAGAGAGACAGAGAGAGAGACACAGAGACAGACACAGAGAGAGAGAGAGAGAGAGAGAGAGAGAGAGAGAGAGAGAGAGAGAGAGAGAGAGAGAAGAGGGGGGGGGGGGGGAGAGAGAACTCATTACGTTATTGCACTTTAGGACACATCAGTTAGAACTTTTAGAAACTAGAACAATTGAACCATCTTCCTCCCGTCGCCTTCTTCCCTCCTACTTTATCCCTGATGTTAAAAAAATGAAATAAAATAAAAATAAAAAACCGACTGGTTTTTCCCTTACTCTCCTCCCAGTACTTTGCCTCCATTCTCACTCAGTTATATATCTCCAGTCTACGACTGAATAAAGGACAAATCTTTGAGAAGTCCTTTCTACGACCAGCTGTTTATAAAGAAAGTGACCGAGTAGTTGGCTTCTCCCCCCCCCCCGCGTTTTCGCTTTGTGGGGGTTTGGGGTGGGGAATAAGATCGTGGATCCCTATAGATGCTCAGTCAACAGGTCTAATAGTTTGAAGGTCTTGGGGACATTTCCGAAGCTTGTCCTTGGCTTGGGGAGGAAGAAGGCATTTTTTGAGGACAACAGAGATCGTGGGCAGAGAATTCGAAGAAGAATCTAGCTATTAGGGGATTTCGGGTGGGGTCAAAGGGCAGAACCTTGAGGTCAGGAGACACTTTCTCTCCACACCCGCGACAGCTGCCACCCAAATTTCTCACTTTGGGAAGCAAATGAATTGCCCCCTTGCTCCAGCCAGCCTCCTCCCCCTCCCCTAACCCAGGCGGCTGTAACCTCCATCCTCCTCCCTCCCTCGTCCATTCCCAAAGCCAAGTTAACAGGCCACCCGGGGACTTGAGTAGGAGAAGAGCGAGGGAGGGGAAAGGATTTTTGGAGAAGCAGCCCAAAAACTTTGCCATTCAGATATCCGCTCCCCTTCTCAAGGAGCACACTGATCGCCCTGGCTGGGCAGTGGGTCGGTGATCACCCTTCAGGGTGCCCGTTACTGCCTCTCTAGTTGGACTGGGGGTTCGGAAAGAAATGCCCTCAGAGAATGTCAAGGCTCTTTCTGGGCGGGACCGGAGGCGATAAGTAGATCAGACTGTAAAACTCCTCAAGGGAAGGAACAGTTTAGCGTGTGCTTTTTTTAATCCCCAGAGCCTAGCACAGTGCCTGGCACACAGTAGGCTCTCGAGAGATACAGGTTGAGTTAGTGAGTAAAACTCCACGGTCCAGGGGATAAGCACCGTAGATGAGGAGAGGTAAATGGTATCTCTCCTCCTAACCCCAAGCCCCTGTGGCTCCCCCCTCCTCCACCTAACAATTCTTTCTCCAAGCAGAAGGCACCAACCCAGCCCAAGTTTGCTGTAGAGTAGGCTCGCGGCTCCCGGGGAGCCCAGAAGTAGCTACCGCCAAGGCCATAGTCATGGCCCAGCCGCAGACACAGGTCCCGCGGGTTTGAGGGTTTACGGCTCCGCTTGAGTCGGGAAGCCGGCTGCGGGCGCCTGGTTTTTGTTCCCTCCCGCTAGCTTTTCGCCTCCTAGGTCGTAGCGCGAATTCGTTCCCTCTCTCTGCAGAATGCAAAGAGGGGGGAAAAAATCCCCAAATGTAAAAAGACGTTTTAAGCACAAACTACGTCGTCTTAGGCAGCGCGAAAAGGCGTCAAATTTCTGTTCTTTGGCTTATTTTTTTTCTCCTCCGTTTGCTCCTTTTTGGGGATACTAGGTCTTCCTCTCCACATTCCCCCCTTCACCTGGCGGGATTATTATTGCTTTTTCTCGCCTTACAAAACCCAGAAGTTCCCCTTCTCCCCTGACCTACCAACTCTGGGACGAAAGGGTTCGCTTGGCGCCCTAGCGGCCAGATGTGTTTAGAGTTCACTCCCCTGGGCCCACTTGAGGGTCCAGCAGTCTACGCAGGTGTGGGGCCTTTCCTTCGCTTCACACACACACACACACACACACACACACACACACACACACACACACACACACACACACACACACACACCCCATGTGCCCGATTCAAGTGGAGGGAAGTGAGGGAC